AGTTACATTGCTAATCCTGGGGCCAAGCCTTTCTGGTTGTTGCAATCCACCAGGAGCTCCTGGGGAGAAAGATGGACAATCTCCTCTGTATTTAACATGATAGGAAATGCAAAGGGTGCTGGGTCAGCTACAAGTTGGTTCAAATTCCATCTCAATAGTTGAGTGAGTGAATCTGTAAGGGAGGCCTGGTGGCGCTGTAGGCTAAGCGTTGGTCTGGTAATCCGCAAGTTGGTAGTATGAACACATCCATCGCTCTAAAGGGGGAAGAGGAGGTGGCCTGCTCCTGTAGATTTACAGCCTCTCCAACACTAGGGAATAGTTTTGTTCATCCCCTAGGGTCCCATTATGACTGGAAACTGACTTGGCAGTAGGGGATTTTGAGCTTTTTTAAAGGGTGGATTCCAAGCTTTTTTCTGTTAGCCACTGAGCATTTCCCAGTGACACCACCAGGGCTCCTACGGGGACTACCAAGACAGAGACTGTGGCCCCAGCTCATGGCCCTGCCCACTCAAGTCCCACAGCCCTCTGATTCGTCACTGTGCACTTTTCTATTGCTTTACGCTGTTGATCTTATCTAAGTGTATGTCCCATTTTCAGGGTCAAGGGATAAATTATCCAAGGCCATCATTCTTGGACCTGGTCATCTGGATTTCATGCACATGTTGTTGAGTATTATTGGGTCGGAACTGACTCCTGGCTCACCATCCGGCAGGTTTTTGTAGGATGTAAATTGCACAGGAGAAGACTGCCTGTCTCCTGAGGAGACACTGGTAGATCCAGACTGCCTGCCTTTGTGTTGACAGCATAACCCCTTACCCACTAGACCACCAGAGTTCCAACAAGCATCCCTAAAATGATGAGCACCTTCCAAAAAAAAACTTGCTCCTCCATGGACTTGGCTGTGCGGGTCCTAATAATGCAGCTTTTGGGAAAGGTGCCTGCATGCCCTCCCCATCCCCCCACCAGCCCTGAGCAGAAGTGCGCTTTCTGGATTTGACAGATAGTTCCCTTGGCTATATTTCCATCTCATTTTGGGGCTTTCCAAGCTGGGAGAAGTTCCGAGCACAGTTTGGGGCCCAGCTGAGCCTCTCAAATCCCAAAGTCATATAATTCCCAGGCCCAGCTGTGGGGGTGAGGGCCAGAGAGATCAAGGCAGGGGAATTTGGGTTGACAAGTCATCTGAGGCAGTTTCAGTTAGAACTGATACTGAAGACTCCCTAGGAAAGCAGCAGAAAACCTCGCTTTTCAGTCTTACCAGGCTCCTGCTAACTTGGTTGCTCCAGTCTGGATTCCTCCATATGGGTCTAGCAGTGTGAAGTCTTATCTTCTTGATGTTGAGATGTAATTTATATTGAAGTCAGCTGTAGTCTTTGATCTTCTGTAGCAAGCATTTCAAGTTTTCATCACTTTCTCCAAGCAAGGTTGTGTTATCTGCATAATGCAGGTTGTTGATGAGTTGTCCTCTTATCTGAATGCCAGATTCTTCTTCATAAAGTCCAGCTTCTCCAATGATTTGCTCAGCATACAGATTGAATGAGCTCTTGTGGCTTAGTGGTAAGAAATTGTGCTGCCAATACAAAGGCATGTGGTTCAAACTCACTAGCTGCTCTGCGGGAGATTGACAACCTCCTCTCATGCAATTTACTGCCTCTGAAAATCCCCTGGAGGACTGGCTATGGTTTAGTTCTGACTTCACAGCATACAACAATGTGAGCCTAATTAAATGTTCTGGATTCCTATTCTTCTCAGTAGTAACAGTTATTAATTACTACCCTAAAGTATTAACAGTTCATTATGATTCATGCAGTCAAATGCCTTTGCATAATCAGTAAAACACAACAACAGAATTCTTCTTGTATTCTAAGATCTCACATCAGCAATATCCCTGGTATCACTCCTAAACCCAGCCTGAATTTCTGCCAGTTTTCTGTTAATGTATTCTAGACAGTTTTAGATAATCTTCAGCAATATTTACTTGTGTTATTAACGATAATGCTCAATAATTTCCACATTCTGTTGAATCCTTTGAGAATTGGAACAAATATGAATCTCTTCCAATCAGTTGGGCAGGTAGCTGTCTTCTAAATTTCCTGACAGACTAATAAATAGGCCCAGACTGCATGTGTTAGTTGAAACATGTCAATTGTTATTCATTCCATCAATTCCTGCAGCCTTATTTTTTGCCAATACCTTTAGTAAGCTGGAGCTTCTTTCTTCATTATCACTCTTTTCTTGTTGTGTCAAGTCGCCTGCAACTCATAGCGGCCCTATGTACAACAGCCTTAAACTCTGCTGTATCCTGTGTCAATCTTAACTGTCTCTGACACATCTACCCCTATTACTCCAGTCACTGAATCAATCTACCTCAAGGGTCTTCCTCTCCTGCACTGTCCCTCTCCAAGGAGTGGTCTCTTCTTGCAGTATGTCCAAAGTAGGTCAGACGAAACTTCAAAAAGCTCCAAGGAGTAGCCTGGTCTCGCCCTCTCTAGGCCGAACTTGCTTGTTCTCCTAGCAGTCCATGGTATATTCAATATTCTTCTCCAGCACCACAGCTCAAAGGAATCAGTTCTCTATCATCTTTAGTCATTATCCAGCTTTCTGATGCATAGCAAGTAATTGCAAAGACTATGGCCTGGATCAAGCACACCTTAAGCCTCAGGAATAACATTGTTGCTCTTTAGTACAGACTTTCCCAACTCAATCTTTTAATTTCCTGGCTGTCTGTACGAAGAGTGTTGATTGTGGAGCCAAGCAAACGACAGCTGTGTTACTTCCTAAAATCTTTCAATTTGGCCAATTCTTTTTTATATTTGTACTATATGTATTCCCTCTATCTTCTTTTGATGCTTTTGATATAATTCAATATTTTGCCCATAGTATTGCAACTTGGGCCTTAAATTTGTTTTTCAATTCTTTCAACTTGAGAAATATGGAGCAAGTTCTTTTAGTCTGACTCCAGCTCTTTGTACATTCAATTATAATACTTGGCTTTGTCTTCTCGAGCTGCCCTTTAAAATCTTCTGTCCGGCTTTTACTTCTGCATCTCTTCCTGTTGTTTTGACTTCTCCATACTAGTGTAATTTTCAGAATCCCTTCCATCCTTTTGGTCTCTTCATGGAGGATATCCTTGATGCCACCCTACAACTCATCTGGTCTTTTATCATCAGTGTTCAATGCTTCAACCCTCTTCTTGAGATAAGCAGCATCATGATAGATTGAGAAAAGACTGAAATTGTCAATGATTTCATCTTACTGGGATCCACAATCCACACTGTGGCACCAGCAACCAAGAAAAGATATGTTGCAATGGGAAAGTCTACTGTCAGAGACCTTTCCAAAGTACTGAGGAGCACCGATGTCAGTTTAAAGACCAAGGTTCTCCAATCCAGGCTGTGGTCTTTCCCATCACCATGCATCTGAGTGTTGGGAAATAAGAATTGATGTCTTAGAGTTGTATTGCTAGATACAACTCTAGCTGTCTTGGAGAAAGTACCACTGGAGTGCTCTTTGGAGGCAAGGATACTGAAGCTTTGTCTCACAGACTTTGGGCATGTTATTAGGAGGGGCTATTCCTTGGAAAGAGACATCAAGTTTAGAAGGTGTAGGGTTAGCAAAAGAGGAAGACCTTCAACAAGATGGATTGACACAGTAATGGCAGCAATAGGCTTGACTGTTTCAGAGATGATGAGGATGGCACACAGGCTAGGACAGTGCTCAGATCTGTAGTTCACAGGGCCGCTATGAGTTGTACTTGACTCAAGGGCATGTAACAGCAGTTCCCTCCTGGCCCCAGGGGAGTGGCAGGGCCCTTATGGATCTGGACACCAGCGCTCTTTTTAAACAGCTTTATTGACTAGATTAAAAGTCAGCCCCTGCCCACAGCCTTTCAGATACAGCTCCATATAAGTCTTGTCCACTGGGTCACTGGGAACAGCAAACCCATTCCCTCCTCCTTCCTTCCTGCACAGGGGCCTGGAAGGGAAGGGGAAGGGGGAGGGGATGCAGCCAAAAATGGTCCCTAGAGATGGGTGGAATGGACGGGGCATAGCCCTGAGCATGGGGAACTGAGGCAAGGGGTGCTCAGACGAAGACGAGGCTGTGGCTGCGGCCCTCTCCATCTGAGCATCAAGCTGGCGTGGCAGGAACAGAGCACTGACCTGGGATGAGCTGGGAACGAGCGGGGCTGCTGACCACAGGACCACAGTGTTAGTGTCTGACCCATTTGCCCTAATGTTTCGGCCACTGAGGAAGATGAATGTGTGTTGGAAGTGTTTCATTAGGGACTCCGTGTGAAACTACATTTATTTGGGGGTTAGATGACATCATGACTTTGGGGACCTCATCCAGACTTAGGTCGTCTCCTCCAATTCCACAGCACGATGACATTAGTTCCACACAGATGCAAAGACAAAGGGCCTGGAGAAGCAGGTGGCTACTGTGGGCTTCGACTTTGTCTGTACGCTTTCCCTCCCCTGGCAACCCTCTAAGCTGGGACTCCTAGGACAATTCTGCATGACACCAAGAAGTCCACCCTTTTTCAACAGAGGAGAAACTCAGGAATTCAATCAAGTATATACACATTCCCTGCCCCATGTTGGTCCTGCTTTCCTCTCGCTCTAGGTTTGCTGCTCCTCTGAGCTCCAAGGCTCAAGTGTCTTGGTCAGTCGATGATGGATATTCAGCTTATGAGGTTAAGAGCAGACCGACGTCTACAGGGCAGGTTAGGAGGAGACGGCCTGGTCCCACCTAGACTCAGAAACAGAGCTCCTGCTGGCAATATCATCAGATCCCCAGCAGGGGGCGCCATTGCCCCAGCAGGTATCGCTGGGGCCTCCGGCAGGCACTTCAAACCCAAGGGAGGCAGAGACCAGACTTCAAGTCATTAGTGATGTACAGCAATGCTGAGAAAGGAGCAAGAATCCTAATGTCTCCGAGGCTGCTGGGGGAGGGATGGAGATGCAAAGCTCTGAGTGGACAGGGGACAGCTGGCAGTGATGGCATCACTCAGAATGGACCAAGGCCCCAGCTCCTTGTCCAAAGCCAAAGCCCTTGGGTCCGAAGTTTTTAGCATAGCATCCTGTAGACAGAGGAGAAGGGTTAAGTACATGCTCTTCGTCCCTGAGTCATACTTCCTCCCACCGAAGAAACCCTAGTCCTAGTGCCTGACCAGCATGCTGGAGAAGAGGAGAAGACTCCCCCGGCGCCCTCTCCCCCTCTACAACATTCCCAATCCTAAACCATACTTGATTCCTTTTCCCCTGCCTCTGAGATGATAGAAGTATTTTCTGCTACAAGAGCTGTGGACTGTGAGTAGGAATCCTGATTTTAGTCCCATCTCTGCCCCAATATGTCCCATGACAAATAGGTCACATCCTCTTTCTGTTCCTGTTTCCTCAGCAGTAAATGAAGAGGTCACACTAGGTGCTCTGGAATGGGTTCTAAACAGAATTGGTTTTCAGTTAGCCAAAGCGTAATTCCTTAGCCCTCCCACTCCATCACCCCTCGAGTCCCCAATCTAGAAGTGCAACTACCCACCTTTGCAGTAAATCTCGCCATCCTTGTCCGCCAGGGTGGTGGACTCAAGGCCTTTGCCACACTTGGCACATCGGAAACAGGACTTGTGCCAGGACTGGTCATGGAAGGAAAAAGTTAACGATTATTCCAGTTACGAGGGTACTCCCTTGCCCAGCCCCACTCCTTTTGATATAACCATGGTGCGAGAGTTTAAGACACTCCCGATGTCTGTTCAGCTGCAGCTACTCTGAAGACACCCATGACACTGGGCAGTGGAGCAGCAGTCAGGGGCCACACACCAACCAGCACCAGCAAGGAAGTGCTGCAAAGACTCCCTGGTGGCTTTACCAGCTGCACTGCAAACAGCATTCGAGGTGGCTGATGTCTCAAGGTCAGGACCACACAAGCCTTCTGTAGACCCCACCCTGGCTGTGGATTCAAGATGCAAGCCAGACCTTTCGAGCTGTCCTGGTACTGCCACTTATTTGCTGTGCAAATTTAGGCACGTTTCTTAGCTTTTGCAATTACCTTGTCTAGGAAACGTATCTGCCTACTTGCAAAATCAACATGAGGACTGGGCACCTAAACATCTGGCTACACAGCAGGTGTTCACTGTTGGGATCTTCCTAGACCTGCCTGGTCTCTGAAGTTCTAGAACTGGGTACCATGTGTGTCCAAAGGTCTTTATCTCTTGGAGAATGGGGGAGGCTGTGAGGAGTAAATGACTTCACTTGTGTACAGTGCTGCTACCAGGCACCGGATCTAGGCAATTATGACCTTGAAGGAAATTAGATCTGGTTTAGAAAGTGCACTGAACTCAGCAGGAAAATATTAGAGAGTGTCATCTGTGTTTTGTTTGTTTTCTTTTCATCTTTTCTTTTCTTCTTTTCTTTTTTCAGAAGTCATAGAAGACCCTTTCCAGTTCCAAGAGGAGCCCCAAGGCAAGATACAGTCTGGGAAAGATAAGATCCCAGGGAAAAGCTGGGCTCAGGTTTGTAAACTGTGGGGGAGTCCACACAGCCAGGGAGATGTCTCAGCAGACAGCTCCACCCTGCAATAGCCGAGCAGTTGATAAGCAGACAGTTCTGCTACAGTGAGAGAAGCAAAATGCAGACAACACACAGGCAGCGGAAACAAGGCCTTTAAGGGCAACGAGGCTTCCTCCACACAGCCACCTGGTGCTCAGGCTGGAGGGCGAGAGGGGAACCTGGATCTTTTTGGTTTCCCAGGTCACCTGACCTCCCTTGGAGCCTGGGCCTGAGCCCAAAGGGCAGTGGGTGTCCAGATAGCTGAGGATGGTGAGCCTGGTGTCAGTCATCCCCTCGGTGCAACTGTGCAGCCGCAGCAGATGCCCTGTCCTTGCTCCTCTTCTGAAAAGCAGGAGCTGCTCTCCTAAGGTCCACAAACTGGAAAAGGGGTGAAACTACCTTCAGAACGCTAGCCAGCTCTCACATTTTTCACCAACTCACAAAAAAAATTCTATGCCTGGACTCATTCATGAAGAACCTAAAAGAACTTTATGTTCCATGCTCCTCAATGTACCTTTCTTGGGCCCAGGCAAAAGACTGTGTGGGTGCGGGGTGGGGACTTCTTTCAGCTTCTTCTGCTTGAAAGCAAAATTCTCTTAATTACTCCTTAGTGGGCCTGCCTTCAAACCATAATCCTGTCTAGGTAATAAGAACATTGACTCCTAGATATATAATTGTCTATGATCATTATGAGACATTGCAGGGGAAAAAAACCCAACTTGATAATATTAATGTTGTGTACTGTAGAGTAGGAACCGATCCACAGCAGACCCCCCTGCTGGGTTTTCCAAGGCAGTGGACCTGGCCTTGACTCCTACCTTGCTACTAATCACTGCTGTCGAGACAGAACTGACTCATAACTAACTCTCCGTCGGGATTTCTGCGGCTTTAAATCACATGGGAAGAGACTGCCTATCTTGATTCTGTGGAGCTAACGGTGGATTCGAACTGCCAGAGAGGTGCTGACTTTTGGTTAGCCTCACAACCCCCTACCGATTACATCACCAGAGCTCCCTGACGTCAGAGTTTAGCCCCATCATAATGAGATGATCTGGAGTGATTATCTAGTCCTGCCAAATCTTGATTTCTTTACCTACAAAATGGGTATGGTAATACACACGTCCAGTAACCACTGTGGTGGGTGAACTGAAATACTGATAGGGTTTAAAACAAACCCACTGACATTGTGTCAATTCTAAATCTTATCAAGTCTACAGGACAGAATAGACATAGGTTTCCCAGGATATAATGCTTACAGAAGCTGACTGCTTCCTCCTTCTCCCAGAATGTGCTGGTAGATTTGAACCACCCACCATTTGGTTAGCAGTCATGCACTTTTCTCCACTGTGCCACCAGATCTCCTTGATAGGGCCTATAATTTCCCTAAGTATTGTCTCCTGTTTCATTCCCTCGGGCGTCCTTCCTGGAGGCTAAAATGTTTTAGAAACTAAGACCCAAATCCAAAAGAGCTGAAGACAGGCTCTGGGTACAGTTATTCCACAGCCTGCCACATGACCGCGGCCTGGTTACTTTCTGTTCTCTGGGCCTCATGTGAGTGATCTGGAAATCGGGCCTGTCTGATCATATCTTGAAAATCCATCTTCTGTGATTCTGGGGTTTTGGTCTAAGGCTGCCAAGCCCTGGGGGCAGTGGTTCTCCTTGATCTTCTTGCTTCAGTCTCTCTGAGGGATACTATCAACTCCCCTTGGGACACTGGCCCACTACAGTGATTCTCACTGTACTGAAGTGCTGGGCTGACTATCAGAACATCACGAGGAAGGGCATGCATGCCAGTTAGGAAAAACCTCCCAGGCCCTGAAAACGGTCCCTGGTGACCCTAAAAAGGTCATTCACATTTTTGAGGTCACAGATGTTTTTGAAAATCTGATGAAGGACATGGATCCTATTCTCAGATAGAGATCGGCCCTGAACTTCTCTTATTTTTTAACATTGTACACAAGAACATTTTACTCTGGCATCATCTCAATTGCTTCTTCCATATTCTTGCCCTTTCCCTCTTCTTCTTGCCAAGATCTGGCTTTATGGTTAAGGATACTTTTTGGAGTCTTTGTCCAGTCTTAGCTTAAGTGGTAACCACCTTTCTGGGGTGGATGTTTCCATGCGCAATTATGCCATTAGCCCTGTCTCTGCTTGCCTTCAGTGTAGATGGTATGTTACTTCCTGTAAACATGAACCCCTCTCTGCCTATTTACAGACCTCTGTGGTGTCTGCACAACCTGAACGTCGTCATCCTCTCAGGCGGGCATGGATCAAACACTGTTTTTCTGTCTCAGTTCCTTGGAAAGAGTGAAGGCCAGAATCTTTCTATGAATGGGGGAAGTTGCACTGAAATGTCTTTTTTGGGTTTTGCTTCAGGCAGTAAACACAGAGAGACTGAACTTCATTTGGGCTTAAGCTTTGGTGGCGTAGTCTGTAGGGAGTTTGCTGCTAACACAAAGGCAGCACGTCTCAGGTGGTTTGAATCCAACGCTTCAAGGGAGAAAGATGGGCAGTGTCCTCCCAAGTGATTTAGATTTGGAAACTTGTTGGCGGGTCAGCTATAGCTGGTTCCGACTCAACGATCAGTTATGGGTTTGTTTGCTTTTGTTTCAGTCATGGCCATAAAAGAGAGTGGAAGAGAAGAAAAGCTAGGCCTTGAACTTTTCAAAAGCTCTGCCCTGGGGTATATAGTTTTTGCATCACATGAAAGGAGCTATGGGGGTGCAGTGGCCCATGGTAACTGAAAAGTCAACTGGTGAAAGATGTGGCAGTGGCTTCCATTACAATTGTATCTTTGGAAATCCTTGAAGTTGTTCTACTCAGTGCTCCAGGGTCACTATGAGTTGGAATTGAGTAAATGGCAACAGGTGGCTAGCCCGCAAGCACAGAATAGAATACAAGTGGATTTTCAAAGGGTCATTCACATTTTTGAGGTCATGGATCTTTTTGAAAATCTGATGAAAGATATGGCTACCCATCTCAGATAGAGATGTGTTTCCACAAATCTTTGCATACAGTTTTCGGGAGTTCATGGATCCACCATGGTCCCCAACACGAGGGACAGAGACTGATCTTTGCAAAGTCCCCTGTGAGTCATTCTTCCTACTGTGTGTCATCAAGTGGATTCTGATTCATAGTGACATTAGATGACTTCCCCGGGGGGTTTCTTAGCTTATATGTATTTTTAACACTATTCACTGCATTTTTGGTTGAAGTTTATGCTGATAATTAGGTTCTTGCTTCACAATTGTTATTGTTCAGTGACACTGGTTACATTTTTAATAACGGATCAATGTTCTCTTTTTCCTTCTGGTTGTCCCATTTCCAGTAATCTAGTTTCCTTGCTCTCATTACTTTCTCACTGTTCTGTTTTAGAGTAATTGTTAACTGTTTGATGGGTTTTTTTGAGTAGATTTTTTTTAAAGGGACAGAGTACTCACAGATGACAATCTTTATTTTTTTGGATAATCTGAGAGCCCCAGGAGACAGCTGTAGTTCCAGGTTAAGGTTACATTGGGGTGATAATCTTGTAATGCCTTTTGCTTTCAGCTGGTCCAGTAAGTCTGAACTTTTTTAAGAATTTCTCTTGTGTTCCACCACAACTTTCTCCCATTATCTCAGGATCTATCTATCTATCGTGGCCCCAATCAGAAGTGTCAATAGTGGTAACTAGACCCCCTCTAGTTCTTGTAGGCTTTAATCTTTATGGGAACAGATCACCAGGTCTTTTCTCTTAAAGAACCACTAATGGGCTGGAGAAGAGAATACCATGGACTGCTAGGAAAACAAACAGATTTGTCCTGGAAAGGGTTAAACCGGGTGGCTCCTTGGAGGCAAGGATTCTGAGGCTCCGTCTAACATAATTTGGACATGTTGTGAGGAGAGACCGGTCCTTGGAGAAGGACATCATGGTTGGGAGGGTGGAGGGACAGAGCAGGAGAGGAAGACCCTCTATGAGGTGGATTGATTCAGTGACTGGGATAATCGGGATGGGAGTATCAGAGACAGTGCGATTGGCACAGAACAGAGCAGAGTTTACGGCTGTTGTACATAGGGTCGCTATGAGTCACAAGCGACTCGACGGCACATAACAACAACAATGGGTTTGAATTACTGACCTTTCAGTCGGCAGCCAAACACTTAACCACTGTGCCACTCCTCCCTGTAAGTTGCCCACAGGCATTTCTCAACCAAGCCTGTACACAACGGTGATGCCACTACACCTGAAGTGACTTGAGTCCTTGGAGACTGGCAGGCAAAGAAACAGAGGGTGACTCAGGCGTCATAGAAGGGAAGGAGTTAAGACCACTGAACCGAGCTAAGGTCAGAGCTTGCAAACTTCTACAACTCATATTTCAGCTGGGCCTCTCACCAGCCAGCCCATCTCCCTCTATCTCCCCCCCACCCGGCCCGGCGGCTGCCTTACCTTCCCAGCACCAATCACCTTCTCCGCAGCATAGACAGCTTGGCCACAGCGAGGGCAGCGCTCAGAGCCGCCAATTTTCTGAGCAAACTTAGACGCATTGGGGTTGGTGGTGGGCCTGTGACCAGGAGCCCTACATGGGAAAGACATGCTGTGAGGTGACAATTATGCCCAGAGCTGGCACTGCAGGATATGACGCCAGCTTTATCACATAAATCTCCTGGTCTGAGCCAAAGAGGCGAGGGTCACAAGGAACTCAAAGATTATCTCCATTTTTTTTTTAAATTTTGTGTGTGTACCATCAAATCAGATCTGACTGGTACAGGACGAGATTGCCCTTCCTCCAGCAGAGCATCTGGTGGATTCAAATCACGTACCTCTGGGATTGCAATGCAGCTTCTTGCCACTAGGACACCAGAGCTCCCTAGATTACCTCCAGTTTAAAGATGGACAAAGTAAGGTTCCAGCATATATGTCCATCACCCTCTGCCGCCCCTCAGTCTTGCAGCAGTTTCACAGTCAGATTCTTTCCAAGAGAAATTTGCTGACAAATTATTCCCATGAGGGCAATGACCTTGGCTGGAAAGTTGGTAAGTCAGCTGTCATTTCCGTCCATCCTCCCAAGTCTGAGGAACCAGCTATTATGACCGCCAACAGCCACTATTTAACAGAAGGTTAGAGGTTGGTGGTGCTGGGGAGACCCAGGGATACCATGTGATATTTCTAAGGTAAGAGAATGGCTTTCCTTAGCCAGTGGTGAGAGGTGGCAGTGCTGAGTGACAGAGAGGCTGATTTGGCCTAAGTCTTATGTGCTGGTCCTGGTTCAGATACTAGCTATGGGTTTGGATTCTTAAATCCATGAAAAGAGGACACTGGCCTGAATAATTACTGGGGCCCCGCCCAGCTCTGACCAGTATCAAAATACAGGATGTAAGTTTCAAGAAGGGAGGAGCCTGGACTATTCTCTTCCCTACTGTGTCCCAAGCTGTTCCAGGGGGCCTGAAGCACAGTGAGTGCTCCATACTACCTTAAAAAGAAAACACGACTTTCTAAGCCTTCTACTGCTAGACCAGAAGTGGCTGGAAGTGTGCTCACCACTAGGAGAAAGGGAAGGGAGAGAACCTTTTACTCACTCCTCATGCTTGATGCCCAGAGACTCTCCCTTGTCGGTGCTCAGTGTGCCAGCACCCTGCCCGTAGCCGTAGCCTTTTGGCCCATATTTCTTGCCATAGCAGGACTTGCAGTAAATCTCCTCACCATGCACAGCCACAGTGGTGCTATCCAGATTCTTCTTGCAGACCACTGTGGAGGAAGAAGGGAAGCATGGTGAGCTGAAGCTGGGGTTGGGGCTAGCTCCTAGTAAGTTCCCAGACAGTTTACATATTTCAGGAGCAGCCAGAAATGGAAGCATGGGTGACCACTGAGCTGGAAAAAGGAAGGTGGGGTCTTCATGTCTGACTCCAGCCAGGTATGCTGGCCCTGTTGTGTCTCCCAGGAGTCTTTGCATGTCTCCCAAGTCCTCTGCACCCTCACATCTCCCCAAAAGTGCAATGGACCCCACATTCAGAGGTGGCAATAACCTATGCTGACCTCAAGCCAAAGAAAGTTGGCTGAGATAGTTTATCTGCCTTTAACAAACAGACTACATGTCCTAACAGGAGAGAAAAAAAAAGAAAGGCAGGAAGAGGGCTGGGTTTTCCTATGCCCAATAGAATCTAAAATTTGTGCATACAGAGGGGATGAGAGAGGATGAAGGTACAGAGCTATTGTTGTTGATTGACTCATAGCCACCCTATGAACAAAAGGCCTGAAGCCTTTCTGTAACTATGACATTTAACAAAGTTCATAGAGTTCCCGGAGGCATGTTGTTTAGGAAGTGGATACCGTGTGTGTGTGAGAGAGAGAGAGAGAGAAAGAGAGAGACACACACACACACACCTGATGGCCTTTGTAATGAGGTACTGGTCATACTAACCAAAACAGGATTTGGAATCATTCTGCTGTAAGAATTTGAGTCAGACATAGGGAAGAATTTCATGACTTCTGGGGTAAGAAATATTGAGAGCTTTCTTGACCTTGCACTCTCTCTTGATAGATAGATAGATAGATAGATAGATAGATAGATAGATAGATAGATAGATAGATAGACAGATAGACAGACAGATACATATAGATACATATATACACATTTATAGGCACATTGTCCTAATCCATTAGCTGCTGTGGGAAAAAGATGGGCAATCTCCTCCAGTACATTTTACTGCCTCTGAAAACCCACTAGAGGGTCAGTTATGACTTGACAGTACATAACAACACTATATATTTGGAAACAGGAGTGACATCCACTTCCTAAATAACATGCCTCTGGAAACACTATGAATTTAAATGCCGATAGTTATAAAGGGGCTTCAGGCCTTTTGTTCACAGGGTCACTATGAGTCATGCTCTCGACTCGAAGGCAATCAACAATAAAAACAACATATATACATGCATACATACAATGTGTGTGTATAAACACACACACACACACACACACACACACACATGCCTGTTTACCTCAGAGGAGAGAGGTACCTAGTTCAAAATCCAGGTCAAATTGAGCCCACATCCCCAGGACCAGACCTCAGCTCTCTCTAGCTGTGTGACCTCAGGCAAGTTACTCTGCTTTTCTAGTCTCAGCATTCTCATCTGTAAATGAAGATAATGCCCACCCCAAAAGGTGGCCTGAGAATGAAAGGAGGTCTTACATGTGACAATGAGCATTGCACAATACCCTGGTTCAGAATAAAACCGGCCATTCTGTGCTAGTATCATATAGTCTGTCAACCCAAGAGGAGGGGACTCAACAGAGATCACATGCTTCTAACTTCCAAGACTCAACTTCACTCTGTCTCATTAGATCTCATCCTGTCACCTGTTTTGGTTCTGGGATAGCCTTTAAATAGTGGATGCAGTCCAATTGGGCTGTATGCTCAAACGTGGTTTTCTAAAGACGGAAACCTAGGAAAGCTGAAGGAGGCACCATGCCTCTTCCCCTCCCTTTGAGAGGCCCTCAGCTTGGTTCTTTGCACCCTGCCACCCTCTTGCCTTTAACAGGCCCAGTTCTCTGCTGGCTTTTCCCCTTGCCTTACACTCCAGGTTGGAGACTGCAGACCAAATAAGGACCCTCTTGTCCTGCCCTCGGAATCCCTACCTCATTCCAGCATTCTGGTCAGTCCAAATATAGAACTTCCCACCTCCTCCCCTGGGGCTTGGCTCCCAGGAAGAAGGGAGAAGGAACAACATTCCCTTCTAGGGTGGGAAGTCAGGGGTTGGCCCGATATTGCTTCCAGTAAGACTCAAGTTAAGCTGGGAATTCCAAGGCCAAAGGGGAGGTAGTCAGCAGACACAGAACGGTCAGGAAAACAGAGTTCCGTGTTGTCTGGCCTTTCCACCAAGACACCCGGGAGCTCAGTGTGGAAGAGCCGTCTGAGCCTCCAAGCTGACAACTGCTGTGACAGGCCAGTGGCTCACCTACCAGGCCATGCCATCTGAACTCAGCTTTCAGACAGAGTCTCAGACAAGACCATCTTGCTCATTTCTGCTCTGCTGTACTTCTCTCAGAAGCCCAGCCCTACGCACCACCATGCCCACCTTCAACTTTAGGCAACATAGTCAAGGGCTCCCAGCTCACGCATGGGCTCCACCAAAGTCTCAGGAAAGAGGAATTCTGAATAAAGGTGTGAAGAAGTTTCTAAGTTGTATGTGTGTGTTGAACACTTGCAGATGCTGCCTGGCTCTGTGGGCCAGGCAATGTCATTTGAAAACACAGGGGAAAGGCAGCCCCACATAAGAGATCAGAGCCTCTTACCTCTGGAAGCAAAGTAATTCTCTACCTCTGGAATGAAAGCTTAGACCCAACAAACCAAACACCTATGATCAGAAGGTGAGCCAAGTTAGGCCCTCGTCCCTGGCTGTTTTCTGCAAGTCTGTGGTTCTTTCGAGTAGGCTAAGCTTGCAGGACCAGAAGGGTGAAACCTCATCCTGCAGGTGAGGAGACCCTGGTGTAAGAGGGTGAATACAGCTTCACCTGAGCTCCTGGAGCCCAGGGCCAACGTGCCTCCACCACTTGCTTAGGACAGACCAGCTCTTCATTTCCAAGGCTGGCTGCTCACCGGCTCAGGGCCCCAGGGGGGGAGATGGACTCACAGCCTCAGGGCAGAATCCCAGTGTAGCAGCTGATCTCTTATCAGCCACTGAGTCTGAACTGCTTGCTAATGGGCACTAGTGGCCCCTGCTGAGACCATAGGGGTGTGGCAGGCCCTCTTGATCCTAGCTCTAGGATCCAAGGCCAGCCAAGTGAAAGCAGTTGTCTCCTGACTTTGTCTAGCACCATATCACATCTTTATGACCATCCCAGAACACCAGGGAAGGGGCAGTAGGTGCTAAGTAGGGGCAGGAGAACCAGAGGCAAGGAATGGAGCGGTTAGAGGGTTGTCTTTTGGGGATACCTTGAGGTCTGCCAAGAATGGAGATGGATCTTATTCCCAACCACCCAGCCCCTGCCAGCCTTTGTCTTCCTTAGGAGGGAAAGTTCTTAGATTCTTTGAATTATCTTAAATTCAGGCTAGACATTCTTCTCCCACTTAACCAAAAAAGAGAATCACCTTTCCTTCCAATCACAGATAAATATTTGTTAAAAGCTTTCTATGTGCTAAGTAATGTTTACTAGATGCTGTGTACTAGGTACTGTGTGCTAGGTGCTGCCTACTAGGTACTGTGTGCTAAATGTTGTGTATTAGGTGCTGTGTATTATTGTGTGCTAGGTGCTGTGTTCTGGATGCTATGTACTAGGTACTGTGTGCTAAGTGCTGTGTACTAGGTGCTATGTACTAGGGACTGTGTGCTAGATTCTGTATTAGGTACTGTGTGCTAAGTGCTGTGTACTAGGTGCTATGTACTAGGGACTGTGTGCTAGATTCTGTATTAGGTACTGTGTGCTAGGTGCTTATGTACTAAGTGCTGTATTCTAGATGCTATGTACATGGTACCGTGTGCTAGATTCTGTGTATTACGTACTGTGTGCTAGGTGCTATGTACTAGGTACTGTGTGCTAGATTCGGTGTATTACGTACTGCGTGCTAGGTGCTGTGTGCTAAGTACTGTGTACAGGTGTTGTGTGCTATATGCTGTGCACTAGGTATTGAGTGCTAGATGCTGTGTACTAGGGGCTATGTGCTAGGTGCTGTGTGCTAGACAGTAAGGATAAGCAAGGTAGGATCAGACCTCTAAGGCTGTGTAATACTAAATGGTTCACTTATAGCTTTTTGTTTTGTTTTGGTTTTGTTTTAATTTTATTTTATTAATTTTAATGAACATTTACAGAGATTTTGGATTTCCATTCATTCATTGTTGCACTTTTCTCCCTACCCAGCCCTCCCCCGCAGTTCACTCCTCTCTTTGAAAAGTAAAATTCTTTCATTGGTATACAATCTAGCTTTGATGTCCAGGAAAAGGCAGGCCCTAAAACCCTGGAGAGACAGATACTGTTCCCTAAAGTTGTTACACAACATTCCTCCCCAGTCTTGCCGTCCAGCCCGACTTTCCACAAGTGTCTCTAATCCTCCACACCCCCTCATGCCCTGGCGCAGACCATGCTCTTTCCTTCCTATGCCACAGCCCGTTGCAGGCAGGGATTAAGCAACTTTCTTTGAGAGCAAAGGAAAGGGCCTGCTGGTCCGAGCAGCCTTGTCAGGCCAGGGCCAGATTCCTCTGGAAAAAATAAATCCAAAACCAAACAAACCAGAAAACAAAACCCCAAACAAAACAAAACACACACACAAAAAATCTACTAAAAAATTTCTAAGTGAACTGCTGATAGTAAGATGCTGCTGTTTCTGGCCTCCAGTGTGGGCAGAAAGCCAAATGGCTCCACCAAAGCTCATTTACACCCCATTCATCAGAGGCAGCCCTGTGGGCAGTGACTCCAGGTGAGGCCCTCACCATGGTGGGCTGCGAGGCCCCTGCTGGCTGTGGTTGGTTCTGACCAGCAGCAGGTGGAGCTCCATGGGACATCTGTGACCAAGTGGGTGGTAGCCATTTGGATCCTACTATGGGGCAGAGATCACCTTGAACCAAAAACCACAGACCCTCCACACTTTGCTTCATGAAAGCAGAAGTAGATAGACAGGACCACTTCCTGGATGTTGCAGATGGGCTGGGACTTCAGCCCCTGCCAGGTGTCCTTTATATCAGACCATATTGCTGTCTGGATCCTTCAGCACTGGGTATGCACAATCATGTGTGTGTAGGAGGGGTAGTGCTTACCATTTCTAGAACACCAGCAATGCACTAAGTGCTATATTTATTTTACCGGCTCATTCCATGTTAATTATCACAACTCTAAGGTAAGCACTTTCTCCACTGTAATAATGTGAAAACTCAACCAGAGAGAGTCACTTGCTTGAGTCATTTGCTCATCATCATTTGGATAATGAAACCCTGATCTGGCTCCTCAACCTGGAACGTAACTAAGACATCCTAAGTGCCTCCCACTCTTCACCTGCCCTCAAGGAAATGCATCCTGCTCCCCTAACACACGCAGTCTGCTATGACCACAATGAAATGAATCATTTAGCAATCTGGGGAGAGGCTTTCTCAAGCCACCACTTTCCAGGTGCTATGAAAGCATCCCTTCTACCAGCTCAGGCCCCTGTCAATGTAGCAGCATGGGGCTGGGATTCCTGGTCGGCTTGCCTGCTTTCAGGGGCTCAATATCCTCTATCCAAGCTTAAGATTGCAGCAAGGCTTTTCTTCATCCTTTAGCAAAAACAAAAAAATTGCCATCTTAACAGATTTTAACTGTACAGTTAAGCGACTCTAAAAACATTCACCAAGTTGTGCAACCATCAACAAGGTCTATTTTCATCATTCTCATCAGAGATTCCATGTCCCTTAAGCAATAACTACGCACCCACCACCAGATCCATCTACTGGCCACTAACCACTAATCTACTTTCCGTGTCTATGAAGTAGCCTATTTTAGACATTTCAAAGAAATACGTTCATCAGTATTTGTCTGGCTTTTTTCACAGTACGTGAGGTTTCCAAAGTTCACCCATGTTGTCGCCTGTATCAGAAATGAATTTCTCTTTCTGGATGATGACTAGTTCGCATTTTCTCCGGTTCACTGGACCTGAGGTCATTGAGCTCTGAACGCCTTCCTCTCTCTTATCCCAGGCTGAGCCTGAATGAAAACTGAGAGAGCAATGGACAGGGCTGGAAGGGGCTGAGGTGCAGTCAGGAAGAGCATAGATGCTTCATCAGAGAGCTTGTGGCCTGGGTTGCCTTTTAACAAGGGATCATTTGGATCCAAAGGCTGGTGAAACTTCTGGAGCTCAAAGTGACTTCTTTTAAATGATGGGATTGTGGCAAGGAGAGAAAGAAGAGTGAGCTGAGTGGAAAGTTTTTCTAATCAAGTCCGTACAGCTTGGCTCTCAGCCTCTCAGTACCCGCCACCCCCACCAGGCCTGGCCAGTCCATTCCCTTAGAGAGCAAGAAAACAGCTTCTGAACGGAACAAAGAGGCCCTTAAGTGTTTCCCTCCCCAGCTGTGCTTCAGCCAAATGTCAAGTTGTTTACATCCCATGAGACCAGTCCCCCAGGGTGTTGACAGGCCCAGCCTGTAGGGGTGGGCCTCAGTCCCCAATCCCCATGGCAACAGGACAGCCTGGGGTTGGATACTCACTGCACAGGAAGCAGGATTTATGGAAGCTATTGCCTTCGCACTGAACCTCTTCAGCAAAGTAAACCGTTTTCTGGCACACTCCGCATTTCTTGCCTCCTCCCCAGTTTGGCATTCTGCAAAAGGAACACAAAAAATGGGGTTAACTTTAGAGAGAGACAGAAACACAGACTTAGAGAAACTAAAAAGTCCAGGGAGATGGAGCAAGACATAAACGGGGCCACCAGCCCAAGCCCAGCACTCCTTCCTGCTGGCTCTCAACCATGTCCTCATACCTGTTCCCCAGGAGTTTCTTCCCCCAATCTAACCAGGTATTTACTGAACAATTATTACAGCACAGAGCTGGACACTTTAACAAATATATTGTGTTACATTTTTGGTGAACATTTACACAGCTAGTCCAGTTCCCACTTAACAAGTCTACACAAGGGAGCTCTGGTGGCCTTGTGGTAAAGAAGCTGTGCTGCAGTCCAAAAGTCACAAAGTTCAAAAACACCAGCTGCTTAGTGAGAGAAGGATGGGCAGTGTCCTCCCATGTGAGTAACTGCCTCTGAAAACCCACGTAGGATCCCCTATGAGTCGGTTCCGACTCAACAGCACACAACGACAACAATAACACACATATAGAGTAGTGACATAGATGACATCTTCCACACTGTGTCACCATTCTCATGATTTCCATTCAGGTTATTCCATTTTTCATGACGTGCGTGTGTGTGTGTGTGTGTGTGTGTGTGTGTGTGTGTACCGTCAAATCGAATCTGACTGGCACAGGAGGAGATTGCCCCTCCTTCTCCAGTGGAGCATCTGGTGGATTCGAACTGCATGCCTGTGGGACTGCAGTGCAGCTTCTTGCCACTAAGCCACCAGAGCTTCCCTTCCATTTTCATTATTCTTGCCTCCCTGTCCCTCCCCACTTTCTTATCTTTGTTTTGGGGTAAACGTGCTAGGTATTCTTATTATTTGCTATTAAGTGATTTCAATTCATGTGTGTCAGAATAAAGCTGTGTTCCATAGAGTTTTTAAGGCTCTGACCTTTCTGAAAAAGATTGCTAAGATTATCTTCTAAGGTGCCTCTGGATAGACCTGAACTTGCAAAGCTTTGGCTAATAGTCCATAACCATGTGCACCACCCAGGGACTCCTTCCTAAGCATTTAATTTCCAAACAAAAATTAACAAAAAGCCATGGTATTTTCAATTACTTCCTATCAACATTAATGAAGTTGGGCAATAAATAAGGATGACAAGAGAGCAACTGATGTCTTTGAATTGATGCTGGAGAAGAGTGTTGAATATCGCTTGGACTATCAAAAGAACAAACAAGCCTGTCCTGGAAGAAATGTAATAAGGGTGCTACTGAGAGGCAAGATAATGAAACTTCACACCACAGACTTCGGGTGTGTTGTCAGGAGGGGCCAATCATCAGAAAAAGACCTCATGCTGGGAATGATGGAAGGTCGGAGAAAGGGAGGAAGGCCCTCAACAAGACGGGCTGACACAGTGACTGTAACTATGGGCTCCAGTCATCAGAGATTATAAGGATGGCGCAGGGTCGGGTGAGGTTCAGATCTGTTGTTCACAGGGTCACTATGAGTTGCAGGTGATTTGACTGCACCTAACAAGACATGAAATATGGTGTTGGTGAGATATGATAAATATGCCATGGACTTTCCAAAAGAATTAACAGATCAGTCTTGGAAAATGTGCAGCTAGAGTGCCCCTTAGAATCTAGGATGGTGAGAGTTCATCTCAACATTTGGAGCATGATAACAGGAGGGGCCAGTCCTTGGAAAAAGACATCATGTTTGGACAAGAGAAGGGTCCTCCAAGGAGAGTAATGCCTTCAATGAGACGGGCTGACACAGTGACAAAAATGATGAGCTTAAGCACAACAAAATGTATACGGATAGTTAAGGACCAGGCAGAGTTTCAGTCTATTTGTTGTCCATCATGTTGCTGTGAGTTGAAGCCAACACAACAGCATCGATCAAAAGCAAAGGAGATCCCGCACAGCCTTAGATGTAAAGCAAACCTTTGAGAATTAGTAGCTATTAACCTGCTTGTCAAACTGAGGAGGACTTGAAGCATTTGCTGCAGAAGATTATGGAATGCAGTCTTCAACATGGATTAAAGCTCAACATCAAGAAAACAAATAATCTTATCACCAGGCCAACTGGCAGCAACATCCCAGATGGAGACTGAGGCTATTAACAATTACAGCTTGCTCGGTTCCACAATCAGCACTCTTGGCATCAGTAGTGAGGAAATCAAAAGACGAGTTGTTTTAGGAAAGTCAGCTGTCAGGAACTTCTCCAGATTGCTAAAGAACATGATGTCAGTCTAGAGACTAAGGTGTGTCTGATCTAAGCCATGGTCTTCTCAATTGCTTGCTATGTATCAGAGAGCTAGATGATAACTAAGGATGACGGAAGAAGAATCGATGCCCTTGAGTTGAGTAGAAAAGTACTGAACATACCATGGAATGCCAAGAGAACAGACAGATCTGCCGGAGAGGGTGAAATCAGGTTGCTCCTTGGAAGCAAGGACTATGAAACTCCGTCTCATATACTTTGGGCATGTTGCCAAGAGGGACCAATCTTGGGAGAAGGACATCAGGCTTGGAAGGGTAGAGGATCAGCACAGGAGAGGAAGACCCTTGCTGAGATGCAGTGACACAGGACTATGGCAACAGGGCCAGGTGTGTCAGAGACAGTGACTGGCTCAGAATAGGACAGGCTTCAGAGAAGTTGTTTATAGGGCTGCTATGCGTCATTGTCAACTCAATGGCACACAACAATAACATTATTAACACAGAGTCTACAAGTAAGTAAGTGGTTAACCAAAGAATAGCATAGGAGGCAAAAACTAAAGAAACTTGGAGCAAGAAAAAGTCCGTAAACTGATGAGATTTTCTTCCAATTCAATAATCCAGTCAATAGACTAATGACTGAAAGAGAATGACTCTCCAGCTCTTACAACATAAATTCTTGTATATAATAGAGACAGGGCCCTGGATAAGGCATCTTGGATGCTGAGGTAACCCAGAATGCTATGGGTAAAGGAGGATGTAGCGTGTGAGGAAATGAAGGGAGTGGGAGCCCAAGTTAATTCTTGTCCTATGAGGCCACGGAACCTAAGGAGAAAGCTCAATGAGACCTCTGTTGTTAGGTGTAGCTGAGTCGGAGTCAACTCCCCCTACGAATAAGATAAAAACGTCCCCCTGTTCTACCTCACCCTCACAATCTCTGTCATGTTCAAACCCACTGTTGTATTCAATCCATCTCACTGGGGCCTTCTCAACAACAAAGACCCTTTACTTTTCCAAGAACTGGTGCCTCCCGACCATATGCCCAAAGTATGTCATGGGAATGTTGTAAAACAAGGCTACGGCATCCAATGTCCACCTTCCTGGTAACAAAGCTTGCGTGGCAGCTAGAGAGTCAATACCAAGAGAAACAGTCTCCACTGACGACGAGGGTCCAAACCATATTCACTAGTGAGTTCTAACACCAGACCCATACCAGGCTCAGCAAATATTTGGATGTATATGCTGAAACTGAGGAGGACCTGAAAGGCTTGCTCACACCACTGGACCAATTGGCAACATCAGGATGGATGGTGAAGAGATTGAGATTGTTAACCACTTTAGTCTGCTTGGCTCCATGGTCAACACTCTTGGCACCAGTAGCCAGGAAATTAAAAAACGTATTGCGATGGGAAAGTCGGCTGTTAGGGACCTCTCCAGGGTACTGAAGAGCAATGGTGTCACTCTGGAGACTAAGGTGCATCTGATACAGGCCATAGTCTTTGCAATCACTTGTTATGCATCAGAGTTGGACAATGACTGGGGAGGATAGAAGGAGAATTGATGCCTTTGAGCTGTGGTGCTGGAGAAGAGTATTGAATGTACTGTGGACTGCCAAGAAAACAAACAGATTCATCCTAGAGAGGGTTAAACCAGGATGCTCCTTGGAGGCAAGGATTCTGGGGCTTCGCCTGACATATTTTGGACATGTTGTAAGGAGGGGCAGGTCCTTGGAGGGGGACATCATGCTTGGGAGGGTGGATGATCGGTACAAGAGGGGAAGACCCTCTATGAGGTGGATTGATTTAGTCACTGGGGTAATCAGGATGGGTGTATCAGAGGCAGTGCGACTGGCACAGGATAAAGCAGGGTTTTAGGGTTGTTGTACATAGGGTCGCTATGAGTCGCAAGCGACTCAATGGCACATAACAAGAACAACAACAACAACAACATTCATATTGAAAGCCACAGCAGAGGCCCACGACCTTTATACAGGTGTATCCTCAAAGCCTCTGGGTCTTAACAGAAACTCATTACCCTTTGTCTAGCATTTGTTCTTTTCCCTGATACCTTCAGCTTTGCAGTACTACAATCACCATCTCCAACACTAAGGTTATGGGAAGCCAAATTTCATACTAAATATTTGTAATAAACCAAATGCTATTTCAGAATGTGGGGGAGGCCCAGTACAAGCTGGAGTTCACCCTGAGGTACTAAGGCAATCCTTAAGGATTTACCCGATTATTGCATTATATTTGCTGACCTCTCCCTCCTAAGTCAAGCAGGGAGGTTTTCAATAGAAAGAGCTTGGTTTCATTTGCACTGAATTATCTTTATGATTTGCTTCCCTTGATTCTCAATAAATACAAAAAGAGGTGTGGCTTGAGGAGCTTCAGTCCTCGGAACTGCTGGCCCCCTGTCTTAACACTCTCTGTTTTATCTCATTCCTGGTTGACTGTCTCATTATTAATAATTAGAAAATTACTTTACCCTCAGTCTGCAACATAAGGTATCTCACCCCACACCTTAGAATGATGATGCTCGTCCCTCTGCCTTAGTGTATCCCATTCTGTGCTGCCCTCTACCTCTTCACTGCCTAAACTGTGTGCTAGCTGTTTGGTTTCTTCCAGCACAGGATCTAGTACATTCATTTCTCTATTTCATTTTCCCATTGCAATTTGAGTCTACCCAGAGATGCCACTGAACAAAGGTCTGGTGATCTACATTTGACAAATCAGCCACTGAAAACCCTATGAAGCACACAGTTCTATTTTGACACGTGGGGTAACCATGAGTTAGAGTCAGAGTT